CTTCCTATGACCAATGGCATGGTGCCTGGGATATCAGCCAGATATTTCGCCATCGGCTGCTTCGATTTCGCAGGACATCTCCGATCTGCTGGCGTCGGGTTCCAGGCGAAACCGGCTGAGCAAACTGGACCAGCAATCACTAGAGATGACATAGCAATTGCATAATCTAACATAGTATTTTTTACATATTATGTAACATAGTATTTTTTACATATTATGTAACATAGTATATTTTTGACATATTATGTAACATAGTATTTTTTACATATTATGTAACATAGTATTTTTTACATATTATGTAACATAGTATTTTTTTTACATATTATGTAACATAGTATTTTTTACATATTATGTAACATAGTATTTTTTACATATTATGTAACATAGTATTTTTTACATATTATGTAACATAGTATTTTTTACACATATTATGTAACATAGTATTTTTTACACATATTATGTAGCATAGTATTTTTTACACATATTATGTAGCATAGTATTTTTTACATATTATGTAGCATAGTATTTTTTACATATTATGTAACATAGTATTTTTTACATATTATGTAACATAGCATTTTTTTACATATTATGTAACATAGTATTTTTTTACATATTATGTAACATAGTATTTTTTACATATTATGTAACATAGTATTTTTTACATATTATGTAACATAGTATTTTTTACATATTATGTAACATAGTATTTTTTACATATTATGTAACATAGTATTTTTTTACATATTATGTAACATAGTATTTTTTACATATTATGTAACATAGTATTTTTTACATATTATGTAACATAGTATTTTTTTACATATTATGTAACATAGTATTTTTTACATATTATGTAACATAGTATTTTTTACATATTATGTAACATAGTATTTTTTACATATTATGTAACATAGTATTTTTTACATATTATGTAACATAGTTTTTTTTTAACATATTATGTAACATAGTATTTTTTTACATATTATGTAACATAGTATTTTTTACATATTATGTAACATAGTTTTTTTTACATATTATGTAACATAGTATTTTTTTACATATTATGTAACATAGTATTTTTTTACATATTATGTAACATAGTATTTTTTTACATATTATGTAACATAGTTTTTTTTTACATATTATGTAACATAGTATTTTTTACATATTATGTAACATAGTATTTTTTACATATTATGTAACATAGTATTTTTTACATATTATGTAACATAGTATTTTTTTACATATTATGTAACATAGTATTTTTTTACATATTATGTAACATAGTATTTTTTTACATATTATGTAACATAGTATTTTTTACATATTATGTAACATAGTATTTTTTACATATTATGTAACATAGTATTTTTTACATATTATGTAACATAGTATTTTTTACACATATTATGTAACATAGTATTTTTTACACATATTATGTAGCATAGTATTTTTTACACATATTATGTAGCATAGTATTTTTTACATATTATGTAGCATAGTATTTTTTACATATTATGTAACATAGTATTTTTTACATATTATGTAACATAGTATTTTTTTACATATTATGTAACATAGTATTTTTTTACATATTATGTAACATAGTATTTTTTACATATTATGTAACATAGTATTTTTTACATATTATGTAACATAGTATTTTTTACATATTATGTAACATAGTATTTTTTACATATTATGTAACATAGTATTTTTTACATATTATGTAACATAGTATTTTTTACATATTATGTAACATAGTATTTTTTACATATTATGTAACATAGTATTTTTTTACATATTATGTAACATAGTATTTTTTACATATTATGTAACATAGTATATAACATATTATGATTTATATAATTGATAGAAGTTATAATGGAATACATATGGACATATATGACATACATAACACAACTATATAAATATATCACTATGGATTCTGGATCTTCCCTAATCCCTGGCCCTAAAACCAGGTAGCTCCATCCTTGCACGTACTTGGAGCCGGCGGCTGCTGCCGGGTCGCAGGCCTGCAACGGACAGAAATTCCCAGCATTTAAAAGAAAAAACAACCATAATACAACTTGATATCATAGAAACATATAGAAACTATCACTTAACTTAACTATATGTCTTATATTGACTTATGTGTTTTTTGAACCTCTTAGAGTTCAGGTGCTTCATGTAGGTTTTGGTTCCGAATGGCTTACCCACGCGATTTCCTTCGAACGATCAGTTTACAATCCCTTGTCCGTGTGCATGATCAGTGTCCACTCCCTTGAGTGTTTGCGTGATCAGTGACCAGTTTTTAACTGCCTTCTTGATTGTCCGCATGATCAGTTTCCAATGGCGGAATATCTCTGTCGTTTGCATGATCAGTTTCCAAGGCTTTTCTTAGTTGGCAAGCGTCAGTCTTTCGGCATTCCTGGTTGGCGTTTCTTTGTGGGGCAGGCGTCCCATGCCAGATGGCAACATCCTTTTTCACGTGTCTTTGGATCTCAGCACGTGTGAGCCTCGATGGTTATCAGGATGATTCTGAAATTCAGGATGGGTAGGATTTTTTCAGTCGAAGAAGAGAAAACATGGCATGGCCAAGTTTTTTTCCCCCAACTTGTTTTTTTTAACCATGGCACAAAATTGTTGGAGTCAGCTGGAAACACATCGCTCCAAGGTTCATCTCCGGGGAGGGACACTTGGCCTCCGCTGAAGAGGTGCAATCCATGGAGACGGGATGAAGGGATGTTGAAGTCTGAATGGATTTGATCTCAATTCCAGGTTCCAGAGAGGTTCCAGAGCTGCAGATTTTGATGATTTTGATGATTTCAAGACCAATTTCATGCAGCATCTGAACATGAAAAATTGGAACCATGCCCCATTTCCAACGTGACAGATTGGTGTCACGTTGGCATTTCTGCAGGTTTCGAAATTGGAATCTCACCTTGCCAGCAAGAATCCTTTGGAGATCTTGGTGTTGAGGCACGAGTTCACAGCGAACGTTGGATCTGTGTTATCTACCATCTGGTTATGACTAACGGTTCGCCATGGAAAGATCCACCCATTTTTGATAGGTAAACCATCTATTTCTATGGGCCATCTATACCATGGATATATGTTAGTCAGAACCAGGTTGGGTATATATTCTGGCAATTTGTTTATTGCAACTTTCTGACACCCAAATTTCTCTAGTCCCCAAGGGACAGCCTTGAAACTTGGCCTCATTTTTGACGATCGCCAGGAAGAAAGTTGGATGGGTCCGGAACCCCGGAAGCCCGGGAACAGCACGACACACTTTAGGCCACTGTGCTGTGAGGCTAACTGGGAGGATGTGGCCACCAACATCAAGCAGAGACTTCGTGGGAAAGGCCCAAATCCAACTTTGGAAAAACGGAAGTTCTGTTTCAGAACTCGGCTTTCCCAGTTGCAGCTTTTTCTTGTTTGTTTGAGATATTTTTGTTGCTTCGGTGTTGGCCATGAATTTCACATTCGCACAGCAGCGGTGGCAAATGCCACTGGAGGCTTCCAGGGCGAAGTGGAAGTGCGCTTTGATGCGCAGGAGGATTTGAAGATTTACAGGTTCGGCCGGTCGCCTGATAGCTACCCTCTGGTGAACTAACATAGCAATGGAAAATGGCTATTTATAGTGGATTTTCCCATGAAAAATGGTGATTTTCCATTGCTATGTTAGTTCACCAGAGGGTATAGGATGCGAAATTAGGTGTTTTTTTGCAGATCCTGGATGTAAAAGCTGATGGGATACTGGTACCAGTAGTGACTAGTAGTGACTAGTAGTGGTAAGGTTAAGAACTCCCTTGAAGTTCTTCGGAGCCGATGAAAGATGAGATGTGGCTGGGATGGTTCCCACAGTTCAGGAGTGGTTGAGACAATACATGTGATCATATTTCATCCCACATTTTATGACATTTTTTCCTCAAACAGGGGGGTGAACGCCAGTTTTCTTCACAGTGTCAACACCAGGAACAATCGATGGCAGAACTTTGTCCGAGCGCCCATCACGCATATGCTCTTGGTACCCTGGCCCTATTTGGGTTTTCCCTATTGGCATTGCCATCATTGCCTATTGACAGCTGAGTCACTGATGATTTCTGAGTCGCGAACGCCGCCTGAGACTTTCCGCCGACGAGGTACTCTCAGGTGTGGGTCTGGTGCTTTGGCTTCCTTACCTCTACTGTCGCTCAGATGTGGCATCTTGGCTCCATGGGCTTGGCTCCATGGCATTCAGCGACCCAAGTTGATCCCGTAACCAACCCAATCGAATCCAAGTTGTAGGTGTTCATTGTGTTCACTGATTCACTGTATACATTATCTATACATTATTTGTATACCAATTATGATATCGTTATCATACGTTTTGACTGACCTGTTTTATTCAACAGGTGGTCGTCGAGAGCAACTTCCAAATTCAGCTGGACATCAACAGGCAGCTGAGCTCAGCGCAGTGAGTTGAGACTCAGATCTTTCCAGAATTGGATGCGAAATTATGCGAAATGAATGGAACATGAATGGAACATGAATGCAACACGAATGGGTCATGTATATCATGTATATCATGTACATCATGTACATCATGTGCAGCCGGTAGCAATTCCTCATTGAACATCGATATCTGAATGCTAGAAACATCGAATGAAATCCTGATTTCGTCCCATTGAGCTCTTGTCGCTGAGATACTGGGAGATGCTGTCAGCAGGCGCCCAATTTTTTTTTTGACCTCCACGGCAAGGGAGACATTGGATTTCTGGGATTTCATGTGGTTAAACCAAAGAATCAACCCAAGAATAAACCATCCATTGGATCATAACCATCCCCAAGTCACCATGTTTTAATGGGTGGTGCATGTATAAACCGTCCCCAGTCATGCTCCAGGTCTGGATGCAGATGAGGGCTTTCGATCCTGAGAAATGCGGAAGTGGAAAAAAAACCGAACGAGTTTTGAAGGGAAATGCATGGGCCACTGGTATCTATCTATCTGGATGTGGAGTTGGCGCCAGGAAAATGCTGCACAAGTCATCAAGCTCTTTAAGGACGCCGACACCGCGACTCAATGGGATTCAATGCAGAATGGTGCTGACGGAATCACCATTCTGAGGCTAAACTTGGTAGACCTCTGCAGGAACACTCAAAGAAGAAGGAGGGCTATCTGAGTCACTCTGGCTGTTTTGGCAGAACTAGATAGCTGTTTAGTACCATAGTAGCATACCATATAGATCCATATAGTACCATCGAAAGGCCCCCAATTGCCAGCCGTTTCAGGTAAGGATGAATTTGTGACGATCCTGCAGAGGCCTGCACCTCAGTGGATCTGCGACTTTCCAAAGGTACCTCAGTGGTTTCGCTGCGAAGGTACCCCTGCTGCAAAGAGACGCACTACCCTTCGGCCTTTTTCGAGCTCTTTGACCGAAACGAGGAGACTGCAGAGACCCAAGAAATTCCCGAAGATGGTCTGAGTCTAACAGTCAATTCGCCGCGACCCAATGCTTTCCCAGCAACCAGGGGGCATTTTCATTGAAGATTGGCACATTTGCATACATTTGCCATGTCTTGACTTGGATAGATCATGATAGACCCGTTTCTTCAAGTCAAGGCAAGGAACATGGATGGAACATGTAAGTCATTTTTGTGAGTCATTGTTTTTTTCATGCACCGAAGGATGGCTACCTGAGTGAGTCTGACTTTCTGGGTGGCATGCTGGCCGTCAGTTGCAATCTCAGCAATGGCAAGATGATGGAGGACGACCCTTCTGCAAACGTAACATGACATGGATCATCATGGATCTCTGGGATTTTTTGCTGAATTTAGCATGATTGCTCAAAGGAGTTGTTCATGTGATGCATGTGATGCAAACAACTGGAAACCATGAGAGGAAGTGCCAGAAATGTCTTGTAACTATTTGTAACTTGAGAAGACCAAGCAACCCGAGCCTAGCCAATATTATGACTGCGCTGGCATCTCAGCACATGCTTTTCGTTAACATGATTGAGCAGGGGAAGGAGTAGCATGACCAAATTCGTTGCCCCTTCCAAACTCTCTTTTTCTAGCCCCAAATCACAGAAACCAAGTTCGCCAGCTTCCATTGGCTCTCACCATGTCCCATGAGTTCAGCAAAACATCCAGCAATTTCATCCACCTTCCATCCACTCCTGCGCCATCCTGCGCCATGTTTGGTGGCCGCAAGGGCAAGGGCAAAGGCAAGGCCCAAGCAGCTCCAAAGCCGAGCAGCTGGGCCATCCAGGGCGGGGCCGCCGAGAAGATCATCGTGGCGGAGCCGCCCAACAAACGACGCAAAGGTGGCAGTGCAGTGTTGGGGGGGAAATCGGAGGATATAGACAGTGATATCATATGTTAATGTTGTCTACATAATATAATATATATATATACAAATACCATATATATATATAATTTATATAATATGTATAGATATATACATATGGATGTAGATATGAATGGAATTGTACATCTGATAAACATAAGTGCAGTAGATAAGAAAATAAAGATGTGGAACTTGGTGTTTTTTTTGGAGGACCAAGTTGATTTTAGCAGTTGATGGTGATCCAGGCGATGGGAAGGATGGTAAGGATGGCAAGAACGGTGGCGACGGCAAGGGCGATGGGAAGGCGAACGGCAAGGGCAAAGTGGACAACGAGTTGCAACAGAACCAGGCGACTGATGGACAGATCGAGGCCATTTGCGACTTGTTGAGATCCAACAAAGTGGATCAAGCACTTCAGCTGATGCAGAAGGAGAAAGCAGAAGGGGCTCTGCCGAACTTATGATGTAGGTAACCCTGTATCATATCTATGTCCAGATCTAGATGAATATCTATACGGTACCATATCTACCTGTTGTGTCCTTTGCTCCCCACTAACAGATGACATCATCATTTGTACCGATATTTGTGGTGTTTCAACACGGGACACTACTCGGAGGGATTGTGCCATTAGGAAGAATTATGCCACGGTCCTTTCAATACCACTAGTCACCAGTAGAAGACTCTTGAACACCACTCTTGCAAACGTCTTTTCCAAGACTCTCACAGAATATGGTTTTTAGAGTGCTTCCAGTGAACACCTTTGTGGACTACAAGAACACGCTTGTACAAGATGATTTCCGATACACTCTTGTAGCACATTCCTCCACAACACCTTAGAACTAGATTGAAGAAACCTCTTGACAACACTCTTGTACAACAAGCTGTTACAATTACATCGCTCTGCTGGCAGGTCATGCCGTTCAAGCACTCTTGTAGAACATGCTTTGGCAACACACTTGTGGAAGATTCTCTTAGAACACACTTGCAAAAAAACTAGTTTGGAACACTCTCCAGGGGCACGTTTACTCTTGTGCAAGACTCTTGTAGGTCACCCTTTTACAACCATTTCTGGTTGGTGGTTTGGAACATTTTTTATTTTTCCATATATTGGGAATAATCATCCCAACTGACTTTCATATTTTTCAGAGGGATTGAAACCACCAACCAGATTTAGTAGAACATGACACAGATGCGAAGAGTGTCACTCTTTCCTTGGAAGTTCACAGGTAAGGTTTCCTTGACCATGCCTGAAATGTGTGGATAAATACGTCCCTCGGGCAAAGCGCCCGAGACCCGCCCAGGCTAAGGACATGACAATATCATATATAATTTTCATATATCACTTATCATATTCAAGATGTATTCAAGATATATATCTTAGATGTTTCGTACAGTGTTGACAAATCATATCATTATCATTCATTATCCATATCTCAATGAATTGGATGATGGGAAAATTTATAGGAAAGCCCTATATTTGATGGTAAAATCCATGGTTTCCTGTAAATTTTCCTTTAAACCAATCCATTGAATATCAACTTGGTGTTCCAGTTGCAGCAGTGCTGCAGGAGCTTGGTGATGTCACAAAAGCCAATTCCATTTCCGTCAAACAGCTGGGTCAGTTGGTGAATGCTGTGGGCCTAAGAACACCACAGGACGGTTGGGGAAGTGGGAACGAACCATGGATGTGTGACCAGGGTGGGGAATTTTAATGTTTCTGTTGTTTTGAATAGCTAAAAAGATCAAGGATCCAATTTCTGCACAAAAACTGCACTGGCACTGCAGTTTGCCAGCGAAGTGGCTGGTATACTGGAAGCCACTAGCCAGCTTCCAAAAATGGATGGCACTTTTTTTTAGCCGAAAAACCTCAGTTGACTCATCCCATGAGCTCCCCTGGCTGTGACTGTGACAACCCGAGGAGCTGGCCTTGAAGTTTCTGGATGCCGTGGATGCCCTGGGATTGCCCAAGTTCCCCAGTTACGGTGCCGCCTGGTGGCAGATGGCGGCGAAGGGTGGAGTGCTGGGAAATTCATGGATTGGTCACCATCAAAGGAATATATCATAATAATAATAATAACAATAATAACAACAATAATGACAATAATGATAATGATAATAATAATAATAAATATATATACTGTATATATATATGTAGATATATATATATAGCTTATATTATAATATACATATATATATACATACACACACATATACACATATATATATATGTATATATATATATATTGTATATGGAAACATTGGAAAATATATATGAACATGATCGACAATTATGGAACATTGACAGGAGCCACCATAAGTGTCCATTTTTGATGGGAGAAAGACCCATGGCCTTTAGAAAGTATGCCAATGACTGGTTCAGCTGTTCTATTTACCATCTATGGCTCTATAAATCGGAGCAGTTTCTGTGGACCTTGCAATGGTCTAAGGCGCATGCTTACTTCAGCCGCTACGCGCGATGGGCGTTGAGGGAGTTCCTGTCCGAAGCGGAATCTGCAGTGGAGCAGGCTTGGAGCAGGAAATAAACAAATGACACATTTAGTACACATGAAATTACTACGATCAAAACATATCAAATTCATCTAGTCCAATTGTTCTATAATAATCATTATTAATCTATTATATATTATTGTCATTTATTCTCTTCCATTGTCTTCTTCTTTTGTGATGTTCACCAGGGTGCTTTTATCCTCGCAATCACAGACGTCCCCAGACCATTTTATGAAAACACCTGTCGCAGGCAACGTCCACTCCTGCGCATATTCTGGAGAAGACAGGGGTGTGCATTCCAATGATGGAGGCAGGTGTTGTAGAGAGGATCTTCCATAGTTCCAGAATGTTCCAGAACTATCAGCACTTTTTTCTACTTTTTTTCCCAAACTCCGACCTTCACGGTCAGTTTTTGTTGTAACAGGCGGCTCCATCTGAGAAAGGTCCCAACTACGTGATGTTGAGCCCCTGTGCCGGGCTGCTCCCAGCTGGGCACAGCTTTCAACGTGGCGATTGGTTACTGGTGACCTTTCCCCCCACGGCGACCCCTGGGATCAGCATCACCAGCCGCGGCGATGTCAGCGTAGAGGCGGAGGTGGTGATGATCACAGCACCTCCGGGGCAGGGAATTCTGGTGCGGATGGTCGGTGAGCTGGGAAGAAATGCAGGCCTTTTGTTGGGGGAAAATGGGAAAGTTCTGGGGATTTTGGGAGGATTGGATGATTTTGATGTCAGATTTTGTCGCTTTTTAATGGGACACAGTTTGGAACATGTGAAAGAAATGCGAGCGATTTCGGTGCCGAAAACCTTGATGCTGATGTCTTTCTGAAGGTCGACTTTTTATGATCCGTCAACGACTTAACTACCCATAGCCCCCAACCTGCGGAGCACTACACGTGCTTCCGTGTAGTGCTTCGTGAGATGGTGTTTCAGGCGAGAAGTTCAACAAGAAGACATGCCGCGTGGACCGGGTCGCGAACCACGTCACCCTGGGTCGTCAGTTGAATGCACTAGTGCCTTGGGTTACCAGAAGGCCTCATGGTGTGGGTCAGAAAACGGTGCATTTTTTGAGTTTTTTTTGTTTCACCTCTCCTTCAATTGTAATGTATGTTTTTTTTGATGTTGGAAGCTTAGAAGTAACATGTGGATCGCCTTTCGATTCAGACCGGTCAAGAGGTTGGTTGGGATCTTTCAAATATCAAGAAACATCCAAAAAAGGAAGGACAACCGGTGATGGCGTCACTTTCAACGTGCACCAAGGTGTTGCTTTGTAGCCCCGTCTCCAAAGAAGAGGAAGAGGAAGCTGCAAATGGCAAAAAAGGTAAAAAGGGCAAAGGCAAAGGGAAAGAGGAGAAGAGACCCACCACCCCTATGTGGCTGAAGGACAGGGCTGTTTGGGTCGGATTTGGATGGTGAACCCCCTGACACTTGGTCGAAATCCACCGATCGCTGGAGGACGTGTTGTTGGCCGTGGACAACAACCTCTCAGGCATCGAACCAGGCCTATCGGCGGTGGAGTTTCAAGGGGCCGGAATCTCCCACCATTCGCCCTTGGTGAAGGACCGGATGCCAGGGATGCCAGGGATGGTCATGCGAATGAGTGACGTGGGGAACAGGGAACACATTTTTTTGAAGCTTGGTGATGTCGGGGATTTTATGTGATCTATTGTGATCTATCTTTATGTATTCTGATATATTTTGATGATATGAATGTGAGCTTGGTGAAGTTTTTGTTTCCAATGAGGCAACACCAAATCCCCAGCGAGCTTTTCTCAGCGCTTCGGAAGTTTTCCTCAGACCCTGCCATGCCCTGGAGGAATGCAATGATTCTCAGAGCAAAGCCCTGTTAGCAGCTGGCAGCAGGCCTGGAACCGGACAAAAAGGCGACAGGTTCCACTTGGGATCTATCCAGAAAAAGAGTGTCAGAATGCTTCATCCAAATGAAAACGTTCACATCGATACATTGGAATTAGGACAGGTCAACATGCAGGAGACTGTGGACTTTAGAGCAGTCACATCAAAGGGAGTCCAACACAAGGCGATGTATTTCTGTAGGATCTAACCAATCGCAAGGATTATACTGGGCACACTGGAGGAGAAAGGCTAGTAATTTATCAGAGAACATGAATATCTTACGGAGATACACGCTAGCCACACGATTGAATCCGAATTCGGACAAATGCAACGCTGAAATTGCGCGAATTGGAGCATCAGAGTCTCAAAACAAAAACTTCAAGACGTCTTTGCTAACTTGCCAAGAGTCAATTCACTGTAAGAGACTGGAAAGACATTTTACGCATTTTCCTGCCTCTAATTTGTGAACATCCCAAAGAGTAGTTTCAAGTTTGGAGTTGAAAAAACACAAAGAATATGCAATGAGGAGACATGAAATATCTGACAATCAGAATCAATCAGATCTAATGTAGGATTTCAACATCATTTCAACATAATTTCATGATATTTTAATATACATTTCAATATCATTCCATTTGTTGAATGAACACTATGGAATGAAAATTATGGTTGAACCATGTTGAATCACCAATGTCAATTTTTCACCAATGTTATATCCATGTTGAATCACCAATATCATATATATATATATATACACCCACAGGATCCATGTATGGTATATATGCTAACATAGATCCCATCAATATACCCCAGTCATGTTAGCATATATACCATACATGGATCCTATGGGATATATATATAATTATATATATATATATGATATTGGTGATTCAACATGGATATAACATATCATATAGCAATATCAATATATATCACCAATAATATATATATATATCACCAATCAACATTCCATATCAATATTGATATTGAATATTTCATATCAACATTCCATATCAATATCAGTATATATATATATCATTATATATCAATATATATATATATGATATTGGTGATTCAACATATTGAAATATCATATCTATAGATATCATCCTATATAACCTTATATATATATACATATGATATATATTTCAATATGATTTTCATGCCATAAAAAACCGCGCCAGGCGCCTGTCGTTGATCCAGGGTCCCCCTGGCGCCGGCAAAACGACCACGGCACTGCTCTTGGTCCGTGGCTGGACAGCGGCGCGACGTGGCCCGGTGCTGTGCTGTGCAGATTCCAACATCGCAGTGACTTCGGCCCGACTTGGATGGAACATTTGGATGGAAAATGGGTGATATATACTGGAAAATCACAATTTTTAATGGAAAATCACCATTTTTTTCATGGAAAGTCACCATTTTTGATGGAACATCACCATTTTTTTTTATGAAACATCACCATTTTGAATGGGAAAACTCACTATAAACCACTATATTAATATAACCACTGGTTGGTGGTTTGGAACCATGGAATTTTATGACCTTCCATATATTGGGAATGTCATCATCCCAACTGACGAACTCATATTTTTCAGAGGGGATGAACGCACCAGCCAGTATTTGATGAGAATGTTTTGAATGGTGATGAATGGTGGTGATCTTTGATTCCAACATATTCCAACATTTTAGGAGGATGTCACTATGTTTTAATGAAATGATGTGATTGCATCAATCTAAGTAGTCGAAGACGGATGAAAGTTCATCATTTGGACCATACATATCACCCCATATCAGCTCTCTTTTTGTATCACTATATCACTATATGTTACTTGATTATGAATCATGATAATTATGGGATCTCACTGGGTTGAAGCACTGGCTTCTTTTGTCAGGAATTGGCATAATTGAAAGCAAGCAAGCTGCGAGTCAATGGGATAAATTGCCGAAAGATAGGCATTCCACAGGGCTCACCCAGTTTTTTTTGGATCATTTCACGCCCAAAGTCAGGTGGACAATTTGACAGCGGGCTGTGTGAAGGCTGGGCTGAAAGTGGTGCGCATCGGTCGCCCCGAAGCTACCCGATTTGACCTGGAGAAATACAATCTGCTGGAGATGGTGAAGGTCTGGCTGTCATGGCTGTCATGGCTGTCATGGCTGTCATGGCTGGGAATATGGGGTGGATTCACATGGAAACCCGATTTTTTTTGGGGTCATAGCACCATTGGAATTGTAAATGGCCAGCAGGACTCTGCCCAAGGTGTGACCAGAATCCAGTCGTTTTGACCATGGTGCAATGGGATCCAACGAGCCAGGACGCTAAAGCAGCTGATCACAACGACTCTCAGGGCCACTTGGCTCATCAACGTGCCATCTTGGAGGAAGCCGAAGTGGTTTGCAGCACATGTGCCGGTGCCGACCACCCGGTCTTGCAGGGCAAGGATTTTGGGTGTATTCTGATTGATGAAGCGGGACAAACCACGGAACTCGCGGTCTTAGTTCCCCTGATGAAGATGAGAAAAGATGGCGTGGTGACCCTGGTGGGAGACCATCGGCAACTTCCACCTACCATCAGCAACGTGGAGGTGGATGTGGAGGGCTTGGGCACCTCTCTCTTTGAGCGCTTGTCCTCGCATGGTGTGGAGCCTTTCATGTTGGACATCCAATATCGTAGCTGGCTGCAATGTTGACAGAAATCTATGACTTTGGCCCAAAACATCAAAAACATCTCTTGGGTTCATGAACCAAAATGCATTTTGAAATAGATTGTGCAAGTGCACTCGGAAAGGTCAAATAAAACCGCTGGAGGAGCTTGCGAGGTTTTCAGTCCACACAAAGTCTATTCTGAAGTGGTGCCCTCTTTCAGCATGTTTTGGGATGTTTCTTCATCAGAATCGTTGCTGGGATCACTGAAAATCCATCTCTTTTCTGATTTACATCTCCACAATACTCCCACTTTTTTCAATTAAACTAAATGTGTAAAATCGAGTCATAATGTCCACATTTTAGTTCACATTTACCAAAGTTTATCATATGATTTTGGATAAAAAAAACTGGGTAGTCCATAGTCCATGTAGTCCACAAGGTGGTGCTCCATCGTTAGCTAAGTTGGTGCAAATAAATAACTCCAATTTCACTTGGGTTTATGATACATATACATGTTAAATATTGTTAAATCATGTTAGTACGTCATCATATATCTCTCGTCTTCATGGGGCTTATGAAAACATTTTACTGCTTAGGAAGTCCCATCATTCAGCGCGGCTTTTCCAAGGTATGCATCCGGCCATCGCCTCCTACCCCTCCGTGGCCAGCTACGGGGGCCGGCTGCGCAGCGGCATCAGCGGCCAGAAGCGGCGCGCACCGCAGGGCATCGCGTGGCCCATCCCGGAAGCGCCGGTGACGTTTCTGCCGGTGGAAGGTGGGATGAGGATGGGATTTCATGGTGGTTTCATGGTGGTTTCATGGTGATTTCATGGTGATTTGATGATGATTTCATGGTGATTTCATGGTGATTTCAATGGATATTTCACCATCTCCAACTTGGGTGTGTCTGAAACTGGGTTGTGATATCTCCCAAATGGCAATCTGAACTTGGAAAATGATGACTAACGAGCGGATTTTTGGGTCTTCTATTTTCAGACAAATCCATATAGAAGATTTAGATTTTCTTTTAAAATGAAATATAATAGGCTGTGAGATACTAAGACTAAGATATAGTACGAGATACTGTTTTTTTTGGATACTAGTATAGGCTAAGACTAATCAAGATGAGATTTGATGATTGGATCATAGTTAATTATTGGATTTTGTTATTTTGTTGGATCATGAGATCTGATATGCTAACACAACATATTTGGAAGATTCAACCTATTTCCCTTCCCACCAGTCACCCGATGACGTCAGGAAAGGAGACCTCTGAAGGGACCTCTTGGCTCAATGAAACCGAGGTGGAAGCCCTTGAGGTGCGATATTCCCATCATTTCCAAAGTATAAATATGTAATATGTATATTCACAAAAAACATCTTCAAGATTTTTCGAACAATATACATTATACATCAATATAAATATACATCAATATACATCAATATACATCAATATACATCAATATACATCAATATACATCAATATACATCAATATACATCAATATACATGAAAAATAAACATATCAATAATCATCAATATACATGTTCAATATTTTCTATCAACCAATTTTCCACATCTTCCCACCATAGGCCCTGCTGCAGAGTGCCCTGGCCTGGAACGACATCAGTCCCTCGGAGATCGGCGTCATCACGCCCTACGCGGCGCAGGCGCGGCTCATCCGCCGGCGCCTGGGCTGCCCGGCGCCGGGCAAACGGGCGCCCGAAGGGGCCGTGGGCGTGGCATTGGTGGAGGTCAGCAGTGTGGATGGCTTCCAGGGACGTGAAAAGGACCCGAAAAATGGGGGGAAAAGTTGGGAAAAATGGGATGAAAGAATGGGAAGAATGAGGGAATGATAGTAATAATCCTTCCAGCAAGCCCCATTCCCATCCATTCCCTACGTTTAGCACCAGTAAGGAAAAATGGGATGAAGAGATGGAAGATGGGACAACTTGGGAGTTGAGAAGATTGGAGATGCTGGAAAGCAGCTTGATTTTGGGATGAGGCTGTTGCAATTCCAGGATGATCACAGGTGCACTTCATCATTTTGCCTGGAACCAGCTCCTGATTTTTCTTTCCGGGATGTGATGCAGATGCAGCACAGTCCCACTCGCCCATCCCAAAACATCCCCACTCCAGAACCATTCTTCATCCATTTTTCATCCATTTGTCCCAGCATTTCCATTCAATTTCTATTTTTCATTCATTTTTCATCCCAGTTTTCTTCAGGACTTGATTTTGGTGAGCACGGTACGTGCCAACACCAGTGGCAAGGTGGGTTTCCTGGGCGATCCCCGACGCCTCAACGTCACCATCACGCGCTCGCGGCGTGGCCTGGTGGTGGTGGGACACTTCGAGACCTTGGCGTCCGACGAGTTCACGTGGCGGCCATGGTTGACCTGGGCGCAGGCGGGGTTTTTCCGGGTGGAAACCGGTGGAAACCTGGGGAAAGCTCGGAAATTTGGGAAAGAGTTGGGATTTTGGGCTGAAATTGACCAAATTCACCAAATATCATCTAAAATATCATCTAAATATGATGTTTTTTTTCGGGATTCCGGAATGGTTTGGGCTTGTGCATTGAGAAATTGGCTTGGGTTTAGAGGTTTAGGAGCTGCCATGCAGCAGGAGAGAGGCCTGGTTGCCGGCTGTGAAGCCACCAATGTGGAAGCTGCTGCAGCGCTAAAGCAGCCACAGAGCTGCACTCAACGGCTATTCTACTGGTATATCTTGCAACTTAGGGACCTGAAAAGATTGGTGTTGCTGCAAAAAATGGAGATCTTGATGATCTTGATACGTAGACTATTGAAGATCTGCCAACCCTACTTGGATTGCTAGATGGCCACTCACATGGTGCTGTTGGTGCACCAAAACGATGCATCTTCCAGGATTTACTTAGTAGGTTGGAGAGTTCATATGGCACTTTCATAACCATGGCCATAGAGTCATAGAGGTTTGGTTTGCTCTCTGTTGATGTTCCGCGGGTTGTTTCTTCGCCTATTCAGCAACAATTCCGTATTCCTTATCTGATCCCAGAAACATCAGAAAACCTTTTGCCACTTTGACAAGAATCCCTTTAGTGGCAAACTGGGGCCAAATGTCAGGACATATCGGACATGTCCAGATTTCATCCCCAGCTGGATACCGAGTCACCGAGGTTAGAATTGCTCTCCGAGGAACAGTTACTGAGAGCCTTAGATGCCACCTATTCTACGGAGAAGTCCTCGACCTAGGCACAAAAAGGAGCAGGTCAGCATCGTCGTGGTCCATGATTTCAAGATATCCAGGATATATAAAGAAAAGCTACTGATAGATCATGATAGATCTATGATTCATCAATGATCTAATAGACACAGATATCACGAATATATGTATATATGTCTTATTATATATGATTATATATGTATGTATGATAGATCTGCAAACCCAGCTGATGTTTTTCTGTGACACCGAATTTTCCTGGTTTTTCTGAGGTCCATTGACACCTCACAAGTTGGATTCCCCGTCCGGACAGTTGAGGACCTGCCGTGTCACTATGATTTTGCTGTCTCACCTTGGATCAACTGGATGATTTTCGACTGATTGATTATATTCATCTGTGTTTGATATATCGTTTGATGATGATAGTGTCTATAAATATCTATAAATCATATCATGATCATGATTCTTTCCAAAACTATTATGATTCTTGTTATTTTTTTGAAATTATCAGGGCCAGCGGAGCTGTCCAGGATGCAGTTCATCTTCCTGTACTACGATCAGAATCGCAATGGCCGTTTGGAGGTGGAAGAGGTGGCGACAATGATCGAACACATCCAGCAGTTGCATGGTGAATCCTGCAGCAGTGCAATGGTGAAATCCTCAGCGGGGCAACGGATCGGATCATTGTTGCGTCTGGGTGCGTTGGATGGATGGAATATGATGGAATGGTGTAAAAAATGCTGGAAATATATAGTGCATTAATTATAGTGCTTCAGGTGGGAATCTGTTTCCAGTCGTAGGAATTGATGATTGGATCTTTACCATCTCTACCATCTTTACCATGAATCTTTTTGCTATGACGAATCGTTTCTGAGTTTACAGAGATGCGATGACCAGCCAACTTTTCTCCTTTCCGAGGTTGATGCCAAAGTTTGGATCCCAGGATTGTCTCCGCATACAGATACGGACCCCGAGACTTATCCACAGATCAAGAGGGAGAACAGCAAGAATACATATTACAGTAATCCTTGAGGTATCCTTGATCTCATTTCTGAAGCTTAGAACTTATAACTTATAACTAGTTAGAACTATAAAAGAATAAGAATTGAGGCAATAACTTAGAACAGGTTATAGCAGGCTACAGGCTTTGTGTCGTTATATCCTTTGTTGACCGAGGCTTTAGTGTCGTTGTATTCGGGACCCTTCGGCTTCGCGGCCTTCTACGATGCCGCGCAGCAGCGGATGCTGAATGGAACCTCACCATTGCTGAGAACCCAACAGGAGGGAAGGGAAGGGCGGCTTCAGCGTTCAGACATGGTTCGATGATAGTTGCGGATAGTTGAAGTATGTTGAACTAGGACGATGATGATGATGATGATGATGATGATGATGATGATGATGTGCTGAGATTCTCAGTAGATTTTGGCTTTTTGGATCATGATGGTTGGACTTCTGTAGGATTATATATAGGTGTAGGATGATGTTTATATCGATCATATATCGATCTATACAGGTATGACTTCAGAAATCATTTGTGTTTAAGTACGATGTTTCATGCATGTGATGCTACATTCCCAACGTGTGAAGCTTGTCCTTTTGTCCTTTTGGGATATCTTGGGATCTTTGAAATATTTTGAAATCATGACTCAGATTTTGACTCAAGAAAGTTCAACATTCATCCCAAGATATCCAGGATTTGCTGGAGGCGGTGAGACGCCAAGCGTTCGCAAACCCAGAGACAACTAAAAAAGGGGACACCATTTGTGGCTGTGAAAATGATAGTGATATGCAGCAGGTTGAAACATGGCAAAAACATGTGCAAGATTTGCGTTCTTGTAAGACTTTACCTTCAGATGTCTGTTATTGATGATTGGCAACAAGAACTTTTGAGTTTCTGGAGTTCGCTTGTTTTACTGGTACTCAGGAACGATCAGAACGAAAGCGGCAAGGATTCTCAGAGGACTCAATTTTCCAAAATTTTCCATAATTTTCCCATGGCTCGTGGCACTGGTTGTATCTCTCTTGTGGTTTCTATACCTTCCATTGGTTTTCTGATGTCAATACTGCTTTCCAATCTCGAGAAAACCAAGGTGCCCGGCTCACATCCAATGGTTCCACCAAGTTCGACGCTGAGTTTTTTTTGGCAAAAAAATATCAACTATTGATTGGAAATAAGTTCAACTTATCAAGTTTTTGGCAATATTTTCAACTTATCAAGTTCCATTGATAACGTTGATCAAGTTCTTGATATTCGTTGATCGTTTTGGATAATCCAATGGATAGTAATCCATTCTGGATTTCATCATCCAGAAGGGATGGATTCATTATTGAGAGTAAGATATAATTCACATAATATGTGCTATTTACTCACCACTGTTTGAGCTTCTTTGAAACCTTGTTTACATTTGTTTACTCATTTTCTACATTTGGCATCGCCAAGGGAAGATCCCTTAGCATCGCTCGCAGGCGGGATAGTTGGATATAGTTCCACACGTTCCACAGGGTGGAGTCTTCGACACGTTGAAAACAGGTTACCCCTAAATCCAGCGGTTTATCATGGTTTATCACCATTTGCATGCCCCAAGCAGTTACTTCTGCAGTAACGAGAAAGGAAAAGGAAAAGGTTTATCACCATTTTCTCAGAACCATTGAGGAGGGTATATTTCCGAAAAAAACCCATTTCAGACACACCGAAAAATTGGATATGTTGGGTCAAATATCAAATATCCATAAATATCCATGAAAAACCACTGTTTCTAGAACTCCAATCGCGTCCAAATATCACAGGTCCATTCGCTGGTGCTTGCGCGAATGTGTTGCAGGTCCGCCAAATACTCGAGCAAATGAAGGAAATCTGAGTCCACTCGGCCCCGGGGCTCAAGGATTGAAGGAATTTTTCGGAATTGAGTCATGACATCACCCATAGGATCCATGGTGCTGGTATATTAATGCTAACATGACTGGGGTATATTGATGGGATCCATGGAGCACCATATATAGCAGCACCATGGATCTGTCATGGGTCATGCCCCAAATTACCAACACCCCTGGGACCTGGGCGATTTTTCAAACCAGGCGCAGCCATGTGTGGAGAAGTAGGTAAAGGATGGCAAAGGGAGATACAGAAATTGCTATTTTTCTGAAACTTGGGTATACCCCATGAGTAACTCATGGGGAAAATGGAGAAGATGAGAAAACACCATATATACCCTCTGGTAAACTAACATAACTATGGAAAATCACCATTTTTAATGGGAAAATCCACTATAAATGGTCATTTTCAATAGCTATGTTAAATTATCAGAGGGTAAACATCATAAACTATCCACATTCTTTATGTTTTTTCCAACATTTTCCGAGGAACAAAGCCCAGAGGGAAGATCGGAAGATCTCCAGCCGAGGCAACAATGCGACTGGAAACTTGCAGCCGTTGCAGCCTTAGGAAAAGTTTTTTTGGGATGGTACTGGGATGGTATTGGTCGACTTTGGTCGATCTTGTGCCGAGGCATCCGTCTCTGCCTTCAGCTGCACTTTCCAGGCGAGAGAAGTCACGCCAGCAACATGGCTTTTGCCATTGGTCAAAACTAAAATCATTATAAGAAGGTTTCCATAAATGGGGGTCCCCCAATAGCTGGATGGCTTATAATGGAAAACTATATTAAGATAATTTAAAATAGATGATTTAGGGGTAACCCCCATTTTAGAGGAACCCCCCATATTGGTTGATATAGATATTGGCAAAGTCTAAGACCCAATGCAACCCAGGGGCTTATTTCCGGCTTTCAAACCACCACACTGTCGAAATGTTTATGGAAGGCCTCCGTCCCGTTCACGGTCTGAGATTGGCACTCAGCAGTTCTGCTGTCTTGCAGGTCTTATGCAGTAACCCACTAGAAGAATCTAAAATCTAAAAGATAGAAAAGTACTTTATCATCACTTAAGTTATGATTTTTACTTTTCTATTTTTTTTTGGGGTTGCTATATATTCTCCTTCAAAGCAAGGGTACACCCTTGTGTGGCGAGGTATCGGCGGGATCAAGGCCCGGATCTGTGTTGTGACCATATCATCAATAATCCAAGAACCGTCATAAGTAGATAATATCATCATAGGTAGATATAGATTTAAAATGATTTAAATGACTTATCATTCTTATCATCAATCAAATTCTGTGTTTTTTTTTGGATGATGACATTGAAATTCTGCACCAAATTGGTCGCAAAAAATCGGTGAATTTGTTCAACGCGTCGCCGATGTCGCTTGGTCGTTTTGAGGAGGAGCACAGGCCATCGCCTTACGTGTGGTGAGGAGTTTGATGGATCTGTGAAGAGCTGAGACTGCTGGTTTGATGGATGTCAGATGATGTCAGATGTCAGATCGTTTTTTTTCGGACAATCCTGCTAAAGTTTCATGAAAATTCCAGTTAAAAAGGACAATCCTGCTAAAGTTTCTCATCCATTTCCATTTCGAGACATCGATATGAAAAAAGAACTTCCAGCCCTGAAAAAATCCTTCATTGCAGGACACCTTTTAGAGATTGCTGGATGATCACAATAAAAAACATGGTGGTGAAACATGGTGATTCACCACTGCCCAGAATTTCGATGAGGTCAGGGGAGAATGGAGCAGGATGGAGGTGCACTTCTGACCATTGGGGTTTCCATAAATGAGGGTACCCCAATAACTGGATGGTTTATTTCATGGAAAATCCCCCAAAAATGGATGATGCCTGGGGGTACCCCCCCATGACCTGGGAATCCTCCTTTTTTTACATCAATGGAGTCACCAGAAATCAGCTGTGCTGCCAAGTACAGAACAGCTGCTTTCAGCTGAAAAAAACGGAGAGTGGCAGGTCCAATCTGAATTTGGTCACTGCTCGAGAGCTAGTGGTGTTATGCACAGAGCTGAGAAAGCCCTTGGGAAACTGCGGAAATCCTCAGCTTTGGAGTTTGAACTGAATTCAAGTGATTTAACCTTCGACGTTTGAACGTTGAACGCGAAAGCGCGAAACGTTTCAGGTGATGCTGTAGTCGATCTCTTGAGACAAGAAGACTCCTTAGTGGAGGCCTAGAAAACCAGCAGCTCTCGACTCATCCGCCATCCGTCGTGGGGAAACACGGCAGGTGGCCTTCCCTTGCCGGGTCTACGGTGACATCCACGGGTGCGTCACCATGGTGACTGATTGGGGGCTGTGGGTGCACCCGGGGTATAGCCGGGTCGAGACCTGTCAGGCAGCTTTTGGATCTGCTGGAGTTCTTTAACGCATTCTCATGGCCGGCCAGAAACCAAGATGCCAAGATGCAAGAAACCTCAATCAGTGGGAATCAGCCAGTCAGCCAGTGCTCAAGCCAAAGCTAGCCTAAGCCCCAACCCAAGCTATACAGGGCGGCTTCTAAGTTGAAATGCTGTAAGACTTGTTACCATCAGACTTGTATAAGACTTCGACTCGCCACTACAAGGGTGGATGGTAAGGGTTTCGAAGGGAGATGGTGACCAAAATCGACAATCGACGAATATCAGGACAAGCGCAAGGGCGACATCTTCTCCATGAACTATGTGTGGAGCCACAGGAATTCCCACAGCTAAGAGTCACAGAGTGAGCATTTTGAAGGAATGTTAGGAAACCAGAGCGAGAGGTAATGAAGTCGACTTGAAAAGTATCAAGTAAACACAAGTCCATGTGTTTCAAAATGTGTTTTCTTATGTTTTCTTACGATATCCATATTTGGTGACAAGGAAACTTCCTGATCCAGCAAAGGTCTTCTTGGGAGACTTTGTCGACCGTGGAGCTTATTCGCATCTTGTCCTAACATGGCCTCAGTTTCATGCACCCCATATGGGGTTTCATCCCATTTTATGGCATTTTATGGCATATGGGGAAACCAAAACCAATGGTTTACCAGAGTTTATCTCCATTTTTGCCGGTTTTGAGCTTGGGTATTTCAATATCCCCAAATTTTTTTTTGAGCGAGTCCTTGGTCAGTCCTTGAAGTCCCCATGTGGCCACCCGAGTTTCTGGCTGAATTGAACCTGGCTGATCCTGGCTGATCCCACTGGATCCGACTGGATCCGAGGTGTGATGTGATTACCTTGCTCTTTTCCATCAAGGTCCTGTATCCTTGCAAAGTCTTTCTGGTCAGGGGGAATCATGAGGCCTGGATCCGGCGATATGATCCGCGGCGTCACGACTAGTCACGACGAGTCACGACGGATTTTGTGCTTCCGGTGTTAAACGTGGCAGGATCGTTTGATGAACGTGAATTATGGCTTCCATGCAGACTGTGCAAGGCTTCGAGCTTGGGGATTTTTCCATGATTTTTGATGATTTTCCTCACAAGTTCTGGGCAGTCTGGGGTCAATTTGGTCCTTTCCAAAGGGACAGTTCAACTTCGCCCTAGGAAGTTTGGTCGCGACGGAGATGACATGTGGGAGCGTCCTTGGACTCAGATACGGATCCTGCTGTGTAGCAACATCAACAAAAATCACCAGGTGGTGGTTTTCGGCGGGGGAAACCATCAAAGACTTGGGGCTTTGGTTGTCATATGTTTTCATCATGGGTTTTAAATAGAATAACATGTGTATACATGTGTATATATATATAAATATTGTACAATTATGCGGTTGTACTTTAGGTTTTAAACATATACATTAAATATACCTCTGTGTGATATATCGATTGCCGGTTTCTATTGCCTTTCCCCATGATTCCTGACCTGAGGTGTGAATGACGTCTTTGAATTTCTGCCCATCTCGGCTGTTGTTGGAGGACAGAACTTGAGCACTTGAGCACTTGAGCAGGCTGTTTGGAAGACCATCTTCATCCATCTTCCAAAAATGCGAGGAGATATCTATAATCAGTTGGTTTATGGTTACATCGATAGTTGCTTCAAAAATAGCTTGTATCACATATATGGCAACTATCTATAGGTTATATCTATAGGTTATATCTATCTATGGCTTCCGGGGTGGTTTCGGCAGGAGAAATCCTCTGCATCCACGGTGGCATCGGCGATTCCATCAACCTACTGGATGACCTACGGGGCATTCCCAAACCCATCCAGGCTGGCTGGGACAGTTTTGGATGCTGAGATTTATCAACTTTTTGGTCAATTGGAATTGGTAAATGGATGTAAATGCGGAAAATATGGCTTAAGGGTGCTGAGAAATTTAAGACCATTTACCAACTTTTTGGTCAATTGGAATTGGTAAATGAATCTAAATGGTCGGCTGATCGTGAAGATCCATTCGTGTGGATATTCGTGTTGCAAAGAATCCACATGGCTTGCGCAGCGGCTGGAGGTGGCCTGCGAAATCAATGAAAGGACGCGATCCAGTCGCGATTCGGTCACAATTTGTTCACGGCGATGGCAATGGCAAAGTCATCTGATGGTTTTAACATGTTAAAATGAGAACTATCCTCATGGGGATATATTTAAGGCCGACTAAAAGCCGTGCAAATCAAGTGCTACAAACATCATGAATTATGACATGAGGATTTCCATGTACTCCGTTTGTTTGATCAACTGTTTCATGTTTTTTTTTGAAAAAATAGTACCCTCTGGTAAACAAACATATATATATAACCATTGAAAATTGCTGATTTACCCATATTTCCCCATGAAACATGGTGATTTTCCATGGTTTTTTGGGATTGTTTAGAGGGTAAACCTCCAACCGTGGTCCAGGACAACTCGCCAAGATCGCATGGTCCTTGATGCTTTGTGGTCAGATCCCACGGAGAACGACCAGGTTCTAGGCGTCCACATGTCGCCGCGTGGGAAGAACACCTGCCGTTTCGGTCCTGACCGAGTGAAGGCCGGAGGATGGGGATAGGTGGATTTCGATGATTTAGGATGGTGGATCCCAAAATTCGGTCATCAACAATTTGTTTGGTTGATACATGTTGATACCCTCCATAGCTGAAGTTTGTTGGTGACCATCACTCGTTCTATGGGATTTTCGAAACCAAGCCATTGATTGGATTGGATGGATTGAATGTTGAGAAGATGAATTTGGAGATAGCGATATATCATCCTCTCTCCGTATGACTAAAACACCGCTCCCCTCCAAACGGTAAACACGGTGATCTATTTTTATCATTAGGAGGTATTTTGTATTAGGGTGCCCGTCATATTATAATGAAAACCCTAATAATAAAATCAGAAAAACAACATTTCAAATTTGATTAACTCTCTATATCTCCCTATTTAAAATCTATATAAAATATTGCCAACAACTGGATTTCGAAGCTTTCCCCTACTATTCCAATGAAAACCTTAATAAAAAAACAATTTCGATTAAATTCCTTCTTACAATCTATTTAAAATATTGCCAAAAACTGGATTTCGAAGCTTTCCCCTAATATTACACTGAAAACCTTAAGAATAAAAATAGAAAATAAAACTTGTAAGTTGGGACCCTAATAAAAAACATCCAGGTACCATTTTATTTTTATTGATAGGGGGTTGAACCCACATTGTTTCACCATCTTGTTCTCTTATTGCTTCAGAATCACCACAATTAAGAATCCAATTGTAACCAACAAAAAAAACGAAAGTGCCAAACCAATTCTATTGTTTTTTTAATTTGGGGGAGTTTTAGTAATAGGAATATAAGGGATTAGCAGTTGGCTCGGAATTGCTGAGTTGCCTGGTGTGACAATCCCCCAGGAATTCAACCAAAGAAACTCCCTGAAACTCATCATCCGTGCTCACGAATGTGTTTGGCGCTCAGCAAGTTGCCGAAGGGATCATTACATGAGACATCTGAGACATTAATGTAAAGGTATCAGTTGTGTCTGGGAATCCGTTTCACCCATGGGGGAAACCCCAAAGTTTGAAGGCCAGAAACCCATGGTGTCTGGCCATGGATGCCATGGCCATGATTTCATGCCTAGGTTCAACATGGATATGAGTACTTCGCAGCTGGGCAGTTGCTGACAGTTTTTTCTGTACGGACCTGAGTGCAAAGCCATGTTCAAAGCCGCTGCGGGTTGATGATTATAGGGTTGTTACATGTTATTATACTATGTTGTACTATCCAATTCTAGAAGATATTCACAATCCATTCTTGGAAATCCTAATCACCAGTATATATATATATACATAGTATATACATATAGTATATATATATACACATATAGTATATATATAGAGTATATATATATATATAGTATATATAGGTACCCGACCCTGTTTCCACCCCCCGAATATCTTCGCTGCCGCATCCTGCAGGCTCAACATGGTGTGGCCACAAGATGCCGCATCCCAGTGATGCACCGTATGAGCGGGCATTGAACAATTTTTATCATGGTCTTCAATCCATGGCGCCATTCGGTGTGTGGCTTCCTTGGCGGGAAGTTGTTACGTTGACTCCTGGTCATGGCTTCACAGAGCAGCTTTGCTTTGAGTGTGCTGACACCTGGCTGCAACTAGATGCCTTGGAATTCGACCCCTCGATAAGGTCTGGTGATGAGACGCTGGTTGCCGATGTGCGACGGATCCGTTTGCTGTACAAGCCTGACCTGCATGGTGACGAGGGCGTGGTTGCTGTTTCCTCGGATGAGGATGTTGCAGCTGCACGGCCTTGTTCCGGTCAGCAATGTTCAGTGAGATGGCGGACAGGGATCAGGAGGGTGATCGGTTCGAGACCGGTGGCACAGTAGTTCGGTATTGCATCGAGCATTCGCTGGAGTGAAAGATTTGTAGAGATTGTGACATGGTGTGTGTATCATTGTTCTACTGGGGACTGCAAGCCAACATTTTTCTATGCTCGGAATTCCCTTACATGGAACATTCATTACAATGGGGGAAAGCCAAATCTGAAAAAAACAATCCGGAAAAAAGTTGTTCATAGATGTTGAAAATCACTATTTTACATGGGAATTTACAGTGTTTCGTGCTTCCACGACAGTTTTCAGGGCCACGACAGTTTTCAGGGGGTGGTAATTCACAATCCATTCTTGGAAATCCTAATCACCAGTATATATATATAGTATATACATATAGTATATACATATAGTATATACATATAGTATATATATATAGTATATATATAGAGTATATATGTATATATATATATAGTATATATATATAGTATATATATATATAGAATATATACATATATATATATATATAGAATATATACGTATATATATATAGTATATATGTAGTATATATATAGTATATATATAGTATATATATAGTATATATATAGTATATATATAGTATATATATAGTATATATATAGTATATATATAGTATATATATAGTATATATATAGTATATATATATAGTATATATATATAGTATATATATATAGTATATATATAGTATATATATAGTATATATATAGTATATATATACTATATATATAGTATATATATATAGTATATATATATAGTATATATATATAGTATATATATATATATACAGCCCGAGCGCTGGTGAAGAATCCGAAAGCTTGAGGTCCAGGGTCCCTCAAATTCTTATTTTTAAATACAGGCAAATTTACACTACAACAGGCCGAGGGTCCCTCAAATTCTTAAGGCATTCTTAGTATTGTATTGCAGGCATCTGCACAATTTGGAGCAAGATTAAACAAGGTAACGAGGTGGAGTTGGCAGATTTGACTATTCATGCGAAAATATGTCTTCAAAATCGAGCTACAGCACGATTTTGCGTTATACCGGGGGGCCTTGGCTGCGCTGGGCTCTGTCGTCGCCGGAATCCGGCATAGCTGTTCCGGCTACGCTGGTTTTTGGCCTTGGTTGCTTGCAGCGGGGCCGCGGCGCCAGGAAAACGCAAAAACGCGCGTAGATCCACGATCTACGCGCGATTTTGCGTTATACCGGGGTTTTGGCCGCGCTGGGCTCTGTCGTGGCCGGAATCATCCGGAATCCGGCATAGCTGTTCCGGCTACGCTGGTTTTTGGCCTTGGTTGCTTGCAGCGGGGCCGCGGCGCCAGGAAAACGCAAAAACGCGCGTAGATCGACGATCTACGCGCGATTTTGCGTTATACCAGGATTTTGGCCGCGCTGGGCTCTGTCGTGGCCGGAAGCCTGCATAGCTGCTCCGCCTACGCTGGTTTTTGGCCATGGTTGCTTGCTAAAATGCAAAAACGACGATCTACGCGCGTTTTGCATATTTTTGCGTTACACCGGGGTTTTGGCCGCGCTGGGTTCTGTCGTGGCCGGAATCCTGCATAGCTGTTCCGGCTACGCTGGTTTTTGGCCTTGGTTGCTTGCAGCGGGGCCGCGGCGCCAGGAAAACGCAAAAACGCGCGTAGATCGTGGATCTACGCGCGATTTTGCGTTATACCGGGGTTTTGGCCGCGCTGGGCTCTGTCGTGGCCGGAATCCGCGCGATTTTGCGTTATACCGGGCGTGGCGGGTGTCATTTTGCGTTTGCGCGGCGGCCCCGCGGCAGCTATGCCGGAATCCGGCCCGGGTTTCGTTGGGCAGAGCAGTCCCAGCGCCCACTGGAGAGGCCATAAAGGCCCGGGACCGCCGGGCAACCCCGGCGGCCAAGGCTCGGCGGTTTATCCAGCGGACTAACGTTCAGCGCCCGGGCGCCGCAGCCGCGCGAAGGCTCGATTCTCCCCCGGCGCGCCCTTCACAGGCTTGGGCTTGGCGTTTTTTTTTGCTTGAAGGAAGCGAGTCATCACACGGTCCGTGTAGCAAGTCACGCTCGTGGTCATGCTTGGCACATTCGTTTTACTATTTGATATTTTCTATTCTTGCAATGCGCTTGCCAAGCAGATTGGCAAGAGGCATGCGAAAATATGATTTTGTAGATCCTGGAAAACAAAAGTTTTTTTTGGCTAAGCCAGGCTTGTCTGAGTTTCGTGCGGTTAGTGCGCAAAAAAGAACGTTTTAGTCTCCAGTACAAGGGCTCACGCCTAAAAAAAAACGCAAAAAGGAGAATTTCAAACTTCACGTATAAGCAATAATTTAAGAATTTGGCAGTCCTATTCCAGGGTCCCTCAAATTCTTAACGTGCTATGTGTTTGGTATAGCTGAAAATATGTAGCCCGCCTTGGAATCGAGCCCTTCAAATTCTTATACAGTGAATTCTTGTACAATACTCAAGCTGTAATATATGTATATATAGTATATATATAGTATATATATAGTATATATATAGTATATATATATAGTATATATATAGTATATATATATAGTATATATATAGTATACTTATAGTATATATATATAAATATAGTATATATATAGTATATATATACACTATATAGTATATATATATGTATATATACATACACATGCGTTAATTCATGTGGCAACGCTCATTTCTTTTGAGTCTCCATGTTGGGCGCCTTCAGTCCATTTTCAGAGGGGTTGTCGTATGGATGGAGGCCACCAACTATTGCAACCAGCATGACAATGATGGTGCGATGGTCGTCCTGGTCAAGGCACATTTTGTCATCATATCATTCGGTTTAGTTTCGTCCTTGAGTCATGTGCTTCTTGTGGAAGTTTGCTCAGGTCTTGATTCAATGTCCACAGTCCGAAGTATAGAAGAACATCGGATGCATCAACATGATATTGGGGTTTCCTAAAATAGGGGTACCCCCAAATCATTTGTTTTTATTTTCCATTTTTTCAACCATCCAGCTGTTGGGGTACCCCCATTGATGGAAACCTCCACACAATTTTGCAGGATGAACGCACTGGGGAGCTGGTCGAGCACGCCCAAGTCATTAAGAGTGGCATCGCTTGGAACCTTGGGTCATGTGCTTTCTTGAGTGGCTACCTGAAGCCAGAAATAGCTGATTCTAGCTGATATGATATATAGCTGATTCTAGCTGATATCTGAAAAGGAAAATCGGCCCAATGAAAGTAAACTGGTTTCAGGGTGCAATTTTTTTTGCCCAGGTGGACACCTCATACGGCTGGAACGACCAGCAATTCCGCGCGTGGGGAGCCCCTTTGTGACTCTGTCTGCTGCATGCCCCGTTTCTGTCTGCTGATGTCTGCCTCTACAGAACTAACCAGGCCTTCCCCAATGAGAAGGACCAGCTGAAGCTCTCCACGAAATTCCGCAAGAAATACACACGCTCCACCCGTGACGCGATGTGGGATTGTGGACATTGATGGACAGTCCAAAAGCATTTACTTTCTGCGTTGGCTGAAATTTGCCAGGGGCAAATCGTTTCAACGACTTGACAGGAAGATGATGAACGATGAGCAATCCAGCAGAATCATTAGCGATGAACATTCCTCTAGAGTACAGCGGAATTGTTAGATAAGAACCAATTAGGAATTTTCCAGCCTACCCTGGGGGGTGGAAAATATGGGAATTATGGACGAGAGTACCCTCAAGTTCTTAACGGGTTAGTTCTTAAGGGGTTCATGTGGTGAGGGTTTTGCCAATTCATTTTGGCGTTTCAGGTCCCGAACAGTTTCCGAACAGAGCTACGCTCCCAAAGTGTTTGATGTCTTTTGGTATCTGGACATCTGGATTTTAAGAAGTTAAGTGGTCAATCTTAAGATCTGTTCATATTTTGAGCCTCCTGGAGACATTTAGAGCACGGGAGATCTGCAGGTGGTGTGGTCCCAGGGCACATTCCAAAGACTCAGACATGCCCCAAGAAGCTTTCAGCAGCCATGTTCATCGCCCATCACCATCATTTTATTGTTGCTGGTTGTATCAGTTTGTGAACTGAAATCACAAGTTGACGGTGTCAAAGACTAACGATCATGAGATATCATCGTCTTGTGGGTCCACGGGTTCCTGCTTTTTCAACATCAGCCATGCTGCGTAAGATTTGAACACCTTTGAACTCATCTTCCCAGATGGTGACCAGAGGGTGACCAGTGATGACCAGTGACAAAGAGGGATTGTGGTGTTGATGTGTTTGCAGAGCCGCTTACCGAACAAGGCCGGTAGATAAAAGCCGCGAACTCGCCCGTCCCCATGGCTTTGCCAAAATTGCTCTACCTTCACGTTCTGCTACAAGTGTCGCTGGTTCTGGCAAGCTCTCAGTGTAAATCCCCCATGAAAGGGAACGTCTTGCTGCAGATGGGTATCTTGGCACATCCACCGACCTTCTTCTTACCTGCGTGTCAAAGCGTCGTTGCATTGCCAACACAAGCGTACATGTCACCGATCCCTTTGTTGTGACATTGGATCATGGATTTCTATGGATTTCTATGGATTTCTTCACTGTTGAGTTGCATTCGTCATGTGTTCCTTCCGACTGTTTTGTCGATGAATCGGACTGTCAGCGTTCTCAAAACCAAGAAACCAAAAAAGGCGGACAGGTACCAACATACGGTGCCAGAAAAAGTTCCTGGGGAGCACATCAACCAGGAAGTATTTACAATTGTTTACATATACATGTATAGATATATCTATTTATTTTTATTTTTCGCTAATTTGGACATATTTGGACGAGCCGCCTCACTCAAAAAAAGATTTGCTTATAAGGCAAAGTGACGAGGGCAACCGTGGAGACTACGGAGATACATGACAATTGGCCTCCTTACAGAAGCTCGGTTTTTTTGATCCTTTTTGACTTGAAACCAGGGCCTTTAATAATTGCGACCGGTCATTTTTCTCAAACACTGTGAAAAAATGAGGGGTTCCGGATGGTTCCTTTTTATGTTCTGGTGTAAAAGGCCGCAGTTTGGAGTGCTCGATCTTTGCCATGCCCTGGCGCCTTGTGGAGATGCCCATGGTGTAGACTGCGGCTCGCGCAAAACGGTCCCGCTTGGCTCGTTCCGAAAAGTCTACGACTCGACGACTTTGACCGGCGCGCTGTGCTCGTTTTGAGCTCCATTTTTCGCATGGGACATTGCATTAATTTGAAGGTTCTTTATTTTCCAGGTGGACATCGGGCGCTTTTTCGTGGCAGGCGCTTTTTCGTTTTGACACGTTGCTGAAACGTTGCAGGTGTGGGTCGAAATGAGAAGTGGCGAGGTCCTTTTTCACGGCAGGCGCAGTATTTGGCGAATTCGGACGAGGTTTTGAAAGGCTCTCAATTCTCGTCTTGTGAAACTGTTTTTTGAATATTAAGATTTTGGTTATGGTTTCGCATGACAGGCGCAATTTTTGTGGGCTTCTCAGTGAAAAAAACACTTAACCCCCACCATGTTTTTCAACATTTTTCGTGGTGCCAGCAGTATTCACCCCGCTTCGCGTGGGGTGGCCGCCCACACCGCAAGTTTATTTCGGTCCGTGAGAGGGGCTAAGGGTGGTTTTCCCCCGTGGGGGCTCTTCAAGCTAAGAAGTTTCAATAAGAAATCCTTCCAAAACATTGTTTTTGACAGTGCTTTTCCAATGTTTAGAGTCAAACAGACGGTAATTTACACGTTTTTTGCCATAAAGGCAGTAAATCCTTCCAAAACATTGCTTTTGACAGTGTTTTTGTAATGTTTCCAGTCAAGCATACGGTAATTTACACGTTTTTTGCTATAACGTCAGTCCAAAACCCTTGTTTTTGCAGTGTTTTCAATGCTCTGGCATCCAAAAACCCTGCAAAATCTTGCTATGTACAATGTTTTTTTCATTTTTGGCCGTTTTTCCATTGCCGGAAAGCTACCAAAATGATCCAAAATTCCATTTCAATACCCTCTTGCGCTCAGACACCCAAAAATCCTCGAAAAATGTCGAAAACACCACCGTATTCTGGTCTCGGTGCGAAACCGTTTTTGGGGTCTGGTTTCGGTGCGAAACCGTTTTTGCCCCCCCCCAGCTAAAGCTGATATAGCGACTGCTATATTAACAAATGTCATTGAGCATTTAGTGTTGCTGTTGCCCCCCAATAAGCACGCCTTCACCGCCAAAGCGGTGTGGGCGGATTTTATGAAATTCTACATGTGCTCGCGCAACCCTCTCGTCAGTTTGTGCAATCAGATCGCTCTCGTTGCGGTGTGGTACGAATTTTGATATGGCTTGACCCTGGCAAAGAGAGCTTCCGAATTCTCTGGGAGGTGCTGCTATGCCGGAGATGAAGGTTCTTGACCAAGGTCTTGCACACATCCTTGTGACCAGATTGCTCCAAGATTCTTTAAGAGGACCTTGTCCTTGCATGATCTTGTAATTACAGGTCCTTGCGTTGCATGAAGATCTTGCAGATGCTGTGTATTCGAGGTACTTGTAAGAGCTCTTCTGGGCTGCTCTTAGGAAGTTCTTGCATGAAGGTCTTGTAAGATCCTCTAGTTGCTTGTATCTCCTACATTGACTTCCTGCCCGCCCGCATTGTTTGGGGTCTCTTGCCAGTGTATTTTTTACCTAAATATAGTTGCACATGCCAATCGCGCATTCATGTTTGCTGCGTTCAATGTTGACAATTGAAGGGCGCTCTCCTTTTTCTGGTAAAGATTGAAACTAATCCTCTCTCCCTATTACCAAAACACTACCCCCTCCCCAGATGGTAAACGCGGTGATCTATTTGTATCATTAGGGGGTATTTTGTACTAGAGGGTGCCCGTAATATTCCAATGAAAACCCTAATAGTAAAAAAGATTCGATTTCAAATTTGATTAAATTTTCTTTTTAAAGTCTCTATATTTAAAATATTGCCAAAAACTGGGTTTCGAAACTTTACCCACATATTCCAATGACAACCTTAAATATAAACTTGTAAGTTGGGACCCTAATAAAAAACATCCAGGTACCATTTGATTTTTATTGAGAGGGGGTTGAACCCACAATGTTTCACCATCTTGTTCTCTGATTGCTTGTGAATCACCACAATTAAGAATCCAATTGTAACCACCCCACCAAAAAAAACCGGAAGTGCCACACCAATCATTTTTTTTTATTTGGGGGAGTTTTAGTAATTGGAAGAGGGGATTAGACCAGCTAGACTGCCCAGGAACCTGGACCTATGAGACCAAGTATAGCTGGGAGAGCGGTTATATTTGTCCAATTGGTCGCGACCTCACTGTGGAAGTCTCCCCATACGGCAGCTTGGATCAGCGCAAGGTTTACTTTTTTGCTGAGCTGCGCTGAAGTTTTGTTGTTTAGTTCAATGGATTGGTTTAAGGGAAAATTTACAGGAAACCCCCATACTTAATGGTAAAAACCATAGTTTCCGGTAAGATTTTCCCTTAAACCAATCCATTGATTAGTGGTCCACTGCCCAAAACTCAGTGGTTCATTTCAGTGCGCCGTGGCAGGAGGAGGTTGTAGTGGCAGCCAAGGGTGGGCCAGAAAGAAGCAGTACTACCGGAATCCCAGCTATGATACGTGTGCCACGTGCCAACGGAATTCGGCGCCGCTTCCCAGGACATTGGCCCCGGACACCTATAGATACTGGCCTTCATCATGCCCAGAGAGCTATGTCCTTGCAGAGAGAGTGGTTTGTGCTAGTCCAACAAGTGCTCAAAGTGATCTTGTGCAACTTGCCACATGCTCTTCACTTGGTGCCAACTATACAACGGCATCCTCAAGTCCCGAAGGATGTGCCGCGCTCATGGGGGGGTCTTTTGTCCTTGTGAATGGAACCAAGTATGTTTGTCAGACATGTGTACTCTCGATTGATTCCACCACTTCCACCATGACAACCACGCCTACAACCACTACTAGCACAACCAGCTTGCCGGTAACGGGCTCAACGGGTTCGGTGCGCGAGTGGGAGGAGTTTGCTGGTCCTTTCAATCGAGTTTGTCGTGGTGCTGGCCCCACTGACAACAATCCTGCTTACTTTGAAGTACGTCAGGAAATTCCAGATGTCGAAGCTTGCAAGGAGTTATGTCTGCAGGAACTTGGACAAGAGGGATGCAAGGGTGTAGAGTACAATGTCCTCAGCAAACGTTGCGAGTTGTGGAAACGGAATGAGGGCATTTGGGCCTTTGACTATCCCAAAATGGAGGGCTTCTCATGCCTCCGTTATGGATGGCCTGGGAAATACTTGATCCCGGTGAATGGAGGCTTGAACCAGGCTTGCCGAGGCCCAGATGGTAAGAATTCTGCAAGTTTTTATGTGGTTGAAGCAGTTCGTCATATGGAAGACTGCCGCGCCAGATGTGTGGCCGCCAGGCTTTGCAAGGGTGTGGAGTATAGCAAAGGCCGCTGCGAGATTTGGCATTCAGAGGTGGCCACTACTGAAGCCCGCACTGGCTTTGAATGCTTGCGCTATGAACCACCAGATGTACCAGAACCAGTGGCAGAGCAGCCCATGCATTGAGAATGCATTGACAAGGCACTGACTTTTAGATTTGACTATTTTGAGAAAAATTGAGTGGTGTGGGTGAGGAGCTACAGCAATTCCTCACATGTTCCACTCAGTGCAACATGGCCAATGGGTAGTAGTTCTGAAGATACGGGGTGTGTTTGCATGTCATACACTGTGTCCACAGCGGAACTGTCGATCATCTAAAATTCACCCCGTATTGCCAAATTGAATCCCTGGCCAGTTAAGCGCCCGGGCGGGCTAAGAGAGTCCTCCCCACTTGAAACTGCAAAAGGGCATTGTTGCAGACACTTGCTTGAAAGATACTGCGACAGCTCCTTTGCTTACAGATCTTACAGCACGCGCGTTTTCGACGACAAAACCAGCCCGACTGGAGATTGGACACAGCGCCCGATCAAGGAGTCATTGTTTCCGAACTTACTAGAAATATGTTAAAATATATGTTAAAATATCTGAAATGCATCATCCAAGTGGTTTTCATGGTTTTCATGGTGCACTGTGTAGATGTCAGACCTGGCTATGATCACAGCATCTGACTTTGCCTCACACCACAGGCTCTGCCTCACCGGCCTCTCGGCGTTATTTTTTTTGTGCCATAGATGGGCAATTCCTGGTGCAATTGGAGCTTTGAACCGGCCAAACATTTAGAAGTTCACCAAAATTGGCGGTCAAGGTGAGTAAACAATTGCTACAATTGCGACAATTGTATATAGGAAGTGGTTCACCAGTCAACTCACTAGCTTGTCAAGTCAAACCAAATCTGTAAGATTTGCCGGTCATGTGTTGATTGGTTCAACAAAGGTGCAGAAACTTCGCTTATTCTGGGCCCATGTTGCACCTCTGCGGCCCAGAACTGGTTGTTTCGATGTTTCGGCCGAAGAGTGAGATAGTATCACACACACACACGTGTCATGACTACATTGCTTGCCTTGTTTATGCGTTGGCCTTTCTGATGGGCACCAGGTTGGATAATAAATCAACGCAACACATGGAAACAGTTTGGAAATTCCAGTTCATTGGCAGAAGCAGCATTCAAACGAGAAACACCAATCTGGAAGTCCTTTATTGCGCCGCCATGGACAATCTTATGTTCGCAAATGGATGCAAGTGGCATATGTCTCACCGTCTGAACCTCTAAACATTGATCCTGGAATGGAGAGGATGTGATGATCATCCTTTCTGGACGCTTGGATTTCCAGAAAATGGATGCCTTCTTGTGTCAGCTGGACATTGTGTCAGCCGGACTCGCACACGGAGCGACAGCAGAGGAATTTGATCCGAATTGAAGATTATTACTTTTGCAGGTGTCGGGCACGGTTTGCTGGTGCGTCACATCTCTCGTTCTGGTCAGAGCGGCTTCGAAAACCTTCACAAATTGTTATGTTTGTTTTAGGTCATGCGGGTCATGAACTTGAAACAAGATGTGGGGTGCAATTTTCTGTCGGAATATATATTTGCAAGTGTAGGTCTAAGATTACAGCTACAAACCAATCGGCCATGCCTTCACACCCCAAGCCTCCCATAAAACTGGTGGCCGATGCGACTTACATCTTCCTAGCCCAACTTGGCTGAATTTCTGGTCTGAGTTGCCCAATGGGCACCTGGAACCCCGTCGCAAATGAACTGAGACAAAGTACAAGGTTTTTTTCGTCTGGCAAAAAAAGAGACAACACAGTAAAAAAGGAACATTTCTTCACAACAGGGTCAGAGGTTGTCAGAGGGTTCTTGTTTGTTTCAGATATCCTGAAGCTGCATCAAATTAAGCCGGACAATGACCGTGGAGGAAGTGAATAACTGCAACCTCGAAAAAACACAAACAAATGCTCATTCGAGAAATTTATGTTTTCGAAAAAAAAATTCTCCAAGAGGGCGGGGTTGCACCACTCTTGGCATTTTACCCGCATGTGTGTTTTGAAGAAATGAGGATATCCGAGAAACAAGCGTAAATATCTGTCCATACGGCTTCAAGACAGAAATGTGCAAATCTAGCCACGGGCTGCCACGGGCACAAAGAAGCTCCACTTGAAGATCCAAGCGTAAAAGCTCCCAACATTCTTTAAGCTGTCGCCCTCAAGATGAACACTTTGGAAATTCCTGGCACGATTCCAGGAAAGCCCGGCACAAATATAAAACATTATAAAACCACGAATCCAAGAATGGTCAGTCATGGGTCACCTTGCAAAATTCAAGTTGAACCAATGCAATTTGCCATCCATTTGTTGACACCCCATCAAATTTTCTCTATCTCAAAAGCAGTGTCGGCTCCAGTACATGCCAGCTACGGCCCATATCCAAAATTCGTTTGATTTTAGACAAACAAGTAAGAAACCTTATAACCGTGACAAATTGGGAAAGCTGTGGACTTAGTCGTTGCTAAAGAACAACATCATGAAATACATGAAGAAGTGAAGATCGAAATGGCAACTGCAGCGTTGTCACAACTTTTCACGAAAGCTAGCATCAGCTAGCTGAAGTTGCTCTTGCTTTCGCCAGGAATAGGCAGGGGCTATGAGGGGCTGAAATCATGTATCGCGTGACGCTTTCACATAAAGGGGTGGTTCCCCTTCACCCCCTGCCCTACCTTGCTTGTGACCGAGTGGTCGCCCATGATGCATGTGGCGCATTCTTTCACCAAGCCCTCCTAGGATGTGCAAATCTTCTCCGATTGTTTCTATCTCCTCGCAACCGTCTCAAGGGTCTCTACCCATCAACATTCACCCCTTTTACTAGGCTCACTGGCCCCAAGTCCAATATTGAATAGCAACCGAGATTCCACACAGCGCGGTCCGCAAAGTTTACAACTCGTTTCCACTCCGTGACCAGAGAAACAGGGTCAGAACATCATGTTTGATCGCAGCGAACGGTGGACGCGGTGCAGCTGAAACCTGAAGCCGCAGTTAAAATCATCCGCATCATCCGAGTTGACATCTCATCAAGGCGTTAGGTAAGAAATGTTTGAAGCACGTGTGTGGTGAGACAGATCAGGGAAAAACGTGTTGGACAAAGAGGAGAAACAGCGGAAGTGCAGCTTTCCTGCAGCAATGTGAACTTATAAGGCCTTGTGCTCCGCTTGACATAGTTGCTTGTGACGACCAATGACATAGATATACCGGCTTTTTTTAATTAGGCGGAACCATGGCGACGAATTCAAGATGATGGCAAGCAAGGAGCTCTCAACGCTGTGAAATTTGGATGACACGATGTTTTTCAATGCTTTTCACCGAGCCAAAGCACAGCTTTGGTCTGCAAGCACGCTTGCTTTGTGTTTCAATGTTTTAGTTCTTGTGCTTTGCGTGTCCCATTGACATCCATTGACATCCATTGACCACAACGTCCTAGCTTTTGCAAAACAAGAAAAAACCTGGCGTAACAACACAAGGGGGCGATCTGGCAACATCATCTGCAGATCTGGCAGTGTCCTGGACGCTTGTCCAAGAGGAGAAGTACAGATGACACGAGGTCTTTTTTCGACTGCTGAAGATGCTGAAGACGCTAAAGTCCAACTTTGGTGTGGTAGCACGCTCATAGCAAACTTGTGATCCTTGTCCTCTCTTTGACGCTGTGCGTGGGGTGCACATTGAGGACTTGAACGTCTGCAAAGGGGTCACAACCGTTGCATTAAGAATATCTATATTAAGAATATGTAAGAATCAGAATCATGGCCGGACAGGAATGTGCCTTGCTATACTAAGACTCCGCTCCCAACGCTGCAGCACCTGTCACCAAAAAATGGGAACGGGAAGGGTGTAGCACGTCAAGCATGATTTCCACCAACTTCCCAAGTGGCAGTTCTGAACCCAGCGGTTTTTCACGTCCCCCCCCGTAGTGAAGCAAACACGGTTATGGGCTCAAATCCCCCAAGTCTTCAAGGTACACAGGCGAGTGCGTAGATCATTCAAAGACATACGGATCATACAGCCACGCTGACCTTGGGCCAGGCCAATCACTGGCCGTGCCTTCAAGGCCCAAATCTTCAAAACTGGCCGCTGATGTGACTCACATCTTCCGGGCTGACCCTACTTGGTGCAACTTGAATTTGTGCTCAGCTGGTTGCAACATGAGCGGCCATGGAAACAGCCAAGGACTTCCGGGACTTCTGGTTTCTCTCGCAAAGCTTGCAGCTCCTTTCAAATCTTTCAGCAAGACTTGTCTCAGATACTACGAGCTCCCGCAAGACAAGCAGAAAAGCGTTGCGAGCATACTGTACTGAGATTCCGCTCGCAACGCTTGCAACGCCTTCCAGCTACAAACAACTCGTAGGGACTGTGGTTTGCATCCTGTGTCGGGGACAAAGATTGAAATGTGCTTGAAGAATAGACTGTGTTGATTGCATCGCACCCGGGCTGTTGAGACAGTTCCAGTGTTCAAGGATTCTGTCTGTGTCCACACCTTGTTCTTCAAAGCGTTGTGGTGTTCTTTGAGTTTCTCGTCAAACGCATTGTGCGGGTCATGGCAAATCGAGCAGTTGTGCAGCTGGGACACGGGACACTTGTCCGGACAATCGGAGCACAGTTCCGAGATCGAGTGAGTCAGTGAAGCTGCCCAACAGAACCAACAGACACCAACAATCAAGGCTTTGTGCCGTGGTTGGGTGCTAGGCCTGTAGAATCTGGTTTCATTCAAACATTAACAGCAATTGGATAGCCAATAACTTCTAAGATTCCTGCGGTTTTGCAATTCCTGGCAAGTACTTGTGAGAAACCACAGCTACTGCGTGGAACGAAAGATTTGCTGTCCGAGGCGGTGTCTGTCTAAACCAGGCCAGTCGCAGAATTGCTGATTGTAGATTAAGGTGCCCCGAACAACATTTCATGCGCACGCCTTTGAGACTGGTCAAGTGGCATCGTTGGGCAAAGAGGAGCAATCGAATTGCTGAATTTGGGCGCGCTTTGGTAGCAGGGTCATGGCAAACTTGTAATTCTTGTGCCTTGTTTGACTCAGTGGGTGGTTTCCACACTTAAGGCAACGTCATCCTTTGTGAGCAGGCATTTCTTTCAAGTCGAGAAGCAGCATTTTCGGCTGTAGAGGGCAGCAACAGTTCAGAGAATGATGGTTAATAGATAATGTTCATGCATTTTACCCAAGTTATGATCTGCCTTAGCCATCCAGCCACAGTTGCACTGGCCTCAACCAAGTGTCCAGCATCTAGGCAAGTCTGACAAGACTTACTGCGGTCTCAGAAATTCCCGGCCTTTCTTAGCGGCCTCAGGGCCGCATATCATTCACGGAACCATGTCTTGGAAAAGCAAATCTTCTGTTCGTACGACGAACCTGCGAATTGAGGACCAGCCGCGGTCAATTATGACCAAGCTATATATATAAGCGTCATGTTCGGGATCTTACATGTCATGGCTTTTTGCC